TCGTTTGGTGGTCGAAAATTACTCCGGTACAACGGAGGCTGGCTCCCCGGCGGCTGGACTGTCTTCTCCGGCGAGGGGCTCTGGCGACTAAGGTTCGGGTTTGGGTGCGGATAGGGTTATTTATACCCATCCGCTTTTGATCTGGGCCGTTCATCGCGACTTAATTTGGATCGTTCGTGCGTGATTCAATCTGGACCGTCCGTGCGTGATGCAATCTAGGCCGTCCGTGCGCGTTTTTAATATGGGTCGTCCGTGCGCGTAGGAACGGATCTTAGCCGTTCGATCGCGCGTATGCGGATCGCCCACGTGGCCTCCCGCATCAATACTTCTGCCTCTTGGCGCGTCCTGGTTGGTTGGGACTGCTGACCGGGCAGCTGACGTGGCGTAACTTTTTTAAATTACATTTTGACTCCCGATTTTCAACTTTTCTTTCAAAAATACTCTCAGAATCTAAATCTTCACCCATTTTTTTTAAAAAAAAAAATTTAATTAAATTTCTAACCAATTTTTAGCGTTTTTATTATTATTTTTTTATTAAATCAAATTAAAATTAAATAAATTTTATTAAAATTATATAAATAATAATTATATTTATATAAAATAATAATAATAATTAATAAAAATAATAATAAAAATAAAATAAAGGTTAGGTGTTACAGAACGCATTCAAATAAGTCTCTTAAGATGATATCAATTGTTCATCAGATGGACAAGACGTGCATGACATTATTTGCAAAGTATTTCATTTAATAAATGACAAATTCTAGCATTTACCCTTTGCTTTCTTCTTTTCACTGAGGACACATCCAATATTATACTATAAATATACCAGCAAATTTTTTCATATTCATTACAAACAATGCTAATAATAAAATTAAAGTTTTACCAAAGTAATTAAAATACTAATCTTACAATAATTGAGTATAATGAACCGTATAAATTTATTTACTTAAATATATATATTTTTTTTTACGTTAAACAACTCTTTTTATAGTTTATGTTAAGAAATATTTTTTCAATATAATATATTTTAATCTTGTATAAGTCAAAACCTAAGTCTAAATTAAAATTTAAATAATCATTGTACCAAAATATGTCCGTAAGTCTAAAAATTAATATGAAATATCTCTTTAATAAATGTGATCTTATAAACAAAATATATATATATATACTTTTACAATATGGACAAAATTTTTTAACTAATAGAGAGGACTCAAATAACCATCCCATCAAATCCCTAAGCACATCAATTTATTTCTCTTTCTTGAAGAGGACTCCTTAACAATTCAATTCAACTCCAAAAATGCCACTTTCACCCTCCATTCAAATGCATTCCAAGCCAAAGATATACACAGATATATATATATATATATACACAGATATATATATATATATATATACATATACATATATATATACGAGACACTGTAACTAAATTTGTTTAGTTCTGATCTAAAAACAAGCAAATCATGAACTATAACACAAGACAAACACATAACCATGTTTGCTAATTAGTCGTTATTAGTTTTATTATCTTAATTTAAGTCGTTAGTTTGATGAGCATTATCAATCTTATAAAAAGCATATATATAAAAAAAAAATTGTAATTGAATTAATGTCTTATTATTTAAATAGTTGTTGCTTGCTGTATGAATTTAACCAAAATTTTAAATTTCTATAAAATCAAAATAAATCTAGTTCGGACTATTGAAATATTTGTCATGCAAATATATATCGACCAATTATTTTTTAATTGTTCAGATGATATTTTTTTTCTTTTACAATAAAGTATAAAATATTTGTTCTCGTGTATTTTTATTAGAAAATTATATTATTATTGGTGAGTATATATTATATAATTAATTAAATATATTTATTTTTATCTTCTAAACCCTCCTGAATAATTGTATGGTCAGAATAATCGTTTATTTATGTATTAACCCTATCAAAGTTAGTAAATTTCAAATAAGCCCATAATAGATATAGTCGTATAAAATAATAATTTAGAAAATGGAATCTAAGATATTCCAAGCAACATATGTGTATGTATACATAGGGATATATATATATATATATAATTAAGTAATTGATAATCATCACATACAAATACAGTCTTCTCATACATTCATATACAAATGATTTTGTAAAGCAATTTGTTCTGTAGTCTGTATTAATTAATTAGTACACGTACGTGATGTAAATGCACTGACTTTGATCATTACAGATTCTTCTGCGGTTGACGTACAACTATAAAAAAAATAATGTACACAACAAATATATAAATATTAATGTTTTTAAAAAATTTATATTATTTTAATAACCATTCAATTAAATAATAATTAATTAATAATTCAAAATTTGTAACTTTTTTTTTTTTGTGATAGGATGCTCTAACTGTTTGAATTTAATTTCAACATCTTAAATTAATTATATATAATACAAAATATTACAAAATTAATATAATATTATTAATATTTAATATGCTTTAAGTTAAAGCAAGGGTTTACTTAGAAAAAAAAAAAAAGTATACCGCAAGTTATGAAGGGCTTAGCAAGGCCATTGACCAACTCTTTTGTATTTTGAGATCCACCAGCACAAATATATCATTTTATTTTTTTAAAAAAATTATAATTAAAAAAATATTGTTCATACAAATTTTCAAGTTAATATGATTAATTGATTATTCATATTTTAAGAAATTGTAATAATTAAATTTTCCAAACAATAATAATTAAATATTTTACAAAAATATCTCTAGATTATCTGATTTTTTTTTCAACTTACATTTGTTAAATTTTTCTAACAATGTAATAATTATAGTTTGTTTTTATATATTTTGTAGAAAATTAGTAGTTTTTGAAAAATATTTATAAATATTTAATCTTCAAAATACAAATAAATAAAATTTCAAGAATAAATAACCACTTAAAAAATTAAATTAAACAGAAAAAAATAAAATAATTTATTAATTTTTTAATATATGACATATTAGGCTGTCGTCATCATTTCTCTAGTGTTATTATTCATCATTATACCCATCTTTATTATGTATATTTTACATTTAATTCCTACCTATATGACTTGGGACCACTTTAGTGACATCATATATGTATCCCTTTGGGAATATGTATAGACCTACATATATATATATATATATACACATATGTATATGATAAGAATTGATAGTTATATTAATATATTTAACATATGATAAAAATATAATATTTTAATAGGTGTATACACCAATACATGATTGATAGTGAGATAAAGAAGCTTCTCATTTTTCAATATCATGTTTAAAAAAAATGTACTCATTTGTCTCTTTTTTTTCTTTCTAATTTTACAATTAGATTCAATAAATAATTAAATTATATATTTTTAATAGTTTATTAAAAATTTTAAAATTTATTTTAAATTTATGGTATTCCCATTTACATTATACATAATTTAAATTTAAAGTAAACTATATATTTTTATTAAAACTGAAAATAAATAAATATACACATATATGCATGCATACAAAATATATAGACGTAAATTACTATATACAAATTATACAATCAATATTCACTTGTTAATGCTAAGATTTATTATTATTATTATTATTTAAAAAGGGTTCTTCAAATCAGAAATAAAATTTTAAGCTATTAAATTAAATATTATACAACATTACCCATTACACAAAATTATTATTATTTTTTTTACAAGTTATCATTTAATTTATTAGAAAAATTGTGTATGGTAATTATTTACCACTTTTTCCCCCTCCCCCCTTTTTAGCATAATAATGATTTGTTATCTCAATGGCATTTTTAATTTATTTTTTAAATATATTTTTGTTAATCATATGGTATTTGAATAAATTTATATAAAATTAAAGTAATTATAACCTAATTTATGTTTGGTAGTACCATACAATAAGAGATATATTATAAGATATTAAAAAATCCAAAAAATTATTTAAAAAATACATGAAAATGGAAAATCCTCAAAAAGCAAACCACACAGAAGAACATTATTATTATTTAATAAAAATACATACATAAATATATTTAAATTAAGAATAAAAATAAAAAATAATTTCAGAAATCTTATCATTATTATTTTAAATAAAGTATTTAAAATAAGATTAGACGTAGATGGCTGAAAAATTCAGCCAGTGCACAGTGAATCTCACACGGGCTATCCGTAAATATGATTGGAGCGTTGAAAGAAGAAATATGTCTTTACGTAGAGAAACAAACATATCCTGCCATTCAATTTGAACATATATATATATAATATTATTTTCTAGTTTGAACGTCTTATCCGGTGACCGGTCTCGTGTGTATATATATATATATATATATATATATTTTTTTTTTTTTTTTCCAAACCAAATGCCGTCCAAGAAGGGCCGAATTACTGAATTTGAATATTAAACGATGTTTCTTTTTAATTAGTGAAATTACTAAAATAATCACTAAATAATCACGCGAAATAACATTAGCTGCCACCCGATATGAGCAACAGAAGCGAGGGCAATTGTGTCTTTTCCTAAGTTAAATTAGCCGTTCAGTAATTTTGAAAAAAGAGTTACCTAATTAAATTCAGTTTAAATAATATCTCTCTCATTGGTCAGCATATTACTAAATGCAAAGGGTTAAATTTATGGTAGGTCCCTCTATTATTTAAAAATATTTAAATAAGTCCTTTTAATCTTTTTTAGTTCAAATGAGTCCTGCGTTTTTTAGAAAATATCGGATAAACCCTGTGAAATAGATCTAACACTGTTAATATTGCGTCAATGTAAATTGCCAGATCAGCACCTACGCGTTCTTAACAGTGTTAGATGTCTTTCGGCGGTGAAGGGTTTATTTGAATATTTTTTGAACTATAAGGACTAAATTGAAAATAAAAGATTAGAGGAGATTATTTCAACATTTTGAAATAATTGGGGGACCAAGTAATGTATTTAGCACCTAAAGGCAATGTACTCTCGCTCTTGCTATCATCGCATTTTGCAGACAACATTTCTAAGGGGGGTAGAGAGAGAGATTGAGAGAGAGAGAGGGGGAGAGAGAGAGAGAGAGGGGGAGAGAATTTAAACAGAATCCTATATTTTCTCCGCATAATTAACAACGATTAGGGTTTTTGGTAGATCTGGTCAGAAATCGTCAAGTTTAGTTGCGTTTTCTCAACTGCAGATCTCGATCGCACCGTCATTTTTCGTTTTAAATTCGGTAAGCAATTAATTCTCTGTATGTCCTTATCCATGTCTAGGTACGTTATAGATGATCGAGTTTTGCGTTATTTTTGTTTCTAATATGAATTTTGTGGCTGAGAGTTCTTTGATTGGGGTTAATCGCAGAGTTTGTGGATTTGAATCGCGTTTTTCAGAGAGCACTTTCATGTTCTGCTTAGAATTCAAATTCTCAACTCCTTGTGAGTCTTGTTGTTTGGACTATTAAAGTTGCTGATTGAAATTATTATGTGTTTCTAATTCTTCTTTTTTCCTTTTGTTTTCTGTGTGATAAGGATTGATAAGATCTTGAAAGTTGGCTCCGCAAAGACGATCGCAGCGCCACATGGGTGGCCAGATGCAGCAGAGCAATGCTGCGGCCGCGACCACGCTCTACGATCACCCCGGCGGTGGATCCTTGCACAATGCAGGTCCCGGAGGCGATGCCGGAGATGCCGTCATGGCGCGTTGGCTCCAGTCCGCTGGCTTGCAGCATCTGGCCTCTCCCTTGGCTTCTACAGGGATCGATCACCGACTCCTTCCCAATCTCCTCATGCAGGTATTCTCCTCTTGGTGGTCTTTTTATTATTACATTTTGTGGGTACGGAAGGGTGCTTGTTAATTGCTTGTTCATTATTGTTTTATTCAAGTGTGGTTTTCATTATTTCGAGGTTTTAAATTGTTCATTTTAAATTAATTGTTCTCCTAATTTGGTTAGGATACTTTCCAGTGATTGAAGTTATAGGTCAAACATTTTCTACGAATGACAATTTGGAGAAGTAGGCTGCTGCTTTTTGCGGATTTAACCTTCTCATTTTACCGTAGTTTATGATTATTTTCCATTGCTGCAATGAGACTTAGATGCACGCCTTGCATTTGTCAGTTTTTGCAATTTGTTTGTTATTATGTATGGGATAAGAATTCGTTGTCTTGCTCTGGATTCCGGATAATAAGTTGATGACCATTTATGCTTCTCTTTTTCTGTTGTCCAGTAACTTTTATCTACCTTTTTCTTTAATTGAGAAAAATATTATTCAAGGGGCACCTAGGAGGTGCTAGCCATATACAGAAAAATGCAAACTATAGGTTTAGGAACAATTTAAAATGCCCATGAGATCTTCAAGCTCTCCTTCATTGGAAAGAGTGTGAGCAGTAAACCAAAAGCACAGAGAATTTGTCCTGTAACTTAATCCTATGAAATATGGAAGGGTTTTTCATCTCTCTCAAGGATTCAATTGTTCCCCTCCATACTAGCAGTTCAAAACATAGTGAATGGAACTAGTTCTATGAGCTTTTTGCCTTTGTTCTTGCTGCCCCATCCAAAGCCTTGACTTTTCCATGGTCGACTTGCCAGACTGCAGTTAATCATGGTCAACTTCAAAGCAGTGTTCCAAAGATGTTTGCCCTATCAAGCCCTGACTGTTGTTTCCTTGTGATTTCTATATTCTTTCTACTGCTGTCAGTGATGTGGTTATATTATCTTGTAATTTTCTCGTAGTTGTCTGGGTCTTACACTTATATAATGAGGAATATTTACCTCCGAAGGGTTATGGAGCACAATCTGCTGAAGAGAAGCAGAGGCTTTTCAAATTAATGAGAAACCTCAACTTCAATGGGGAATCAGGCGCTGAACCATATACACCAACTGCCCAGTCCTTGGGTGGTACAGTTGCATCAGATGGTTTTTATTCTCCCGAGTTCCGAGGGGATTTTGGTGCTGGACTTTTGGATCTTCATGCTATGGACGATACTGAGCTTCTATCTGAGGTATCCTCGTAACGTTTGAGTATGGTTTTTCTTGCAGTTAATGTGATATTTAGATTAGATAGCACCATTTTTTCTGGCTAAGTGAGTAGATAGTTTCCTGTACGATCCAGTTTTTTAATTTCCATACTCCTTATTCAATTATATCTACTCTGAGTAGAAGAGCATTAGAAGTGATAGAGGTGTCCCTTTTAGACATAAAGGAAAAAGATCACACAATTCGATATGTATGGTTAAATGCTAGTTTTGGAAGGACGAGAAAGGTCATTTTTTTAATAGAATTTGCATAGTTAATGAGTCTTCCTTTGCTGTCACAGGAGAGAATTTCTGTTTGAGCATATGGTCTTGCGTGTCTTCAGTTTCTGCATGATGATTATGATTTATGTTGCAGGAAAAAATGGATACTTGTTCCCTTTATAATAAAAATTTTATTTTCATCTGTTTGCAGCATACCATTTCTGAACCCTTTGAGCCATCACCTTTTATTCCCGGAAATACAAAAGTATTTGAAGAGGACTTCGATATGCCAGTTGGCTGGCAGCCAAGAGAGCAAACAGATGCTGAGGCCTCGGTTTCTTTCCCTACCAATGAAAAGGAGATCAGTGGAAGAGAAAATAATGTAGCTAAGATCAAAGTTGTGGTATGTTGATTTTATTGGCATTGCTTTCTTTCACTCTTGATTCCATCATTTCTTTGTCTCTATTATTCTGTCAAATTATCAATACATAAGGGCCTTTCAAATATGTGTAACATGCTCATATACTAAAAAGGTGTTTCATATATATTTTGAACATGGAATTTCTGTGGTGTTGATCCGGAGGTTTGTATAAGTGCAGTTCTCTGCTATGTAAAGTAATAGTCATGAAAACTGTTGAACTTGAACTTGGTTGGCTGGATTAATTCCCTTTCAGAAATTGGTCTTATTAAGTGTCTGTTTGGCTCAATTTCTGTTTTTACTGTCAAGAAAAGGTAGAAGTCTGCCCAGAGATTAGAAAAAGAAGTGCTTTTAGGCAAAAAGCAAGAATTGTTTTTTGTTTTTAATAAAGATACAATTAGAAGCTAGAAAATGCTTTAGGAGGTAAATAATATTTTCAATAAGTGTATTATTAACTTTGTGCTTCATTAATTAATAAATTTGATATTTTTAAAATAAAAATATAATGTCAATCTATTATTATTAATTTTATATTTATTAAATAGTATTTATTTTAAAATTAAATGATAATAAATTTAAAATTAATATTTATATTGAATAAATAAATAAAATTATTAAATTAAATAAATATTTTAAAGTAATTTAAATTATTAAAATAGTTTTCTAAATAATAATGTTTAAATAATCAAAATAATTAATTTGTTATTTTTATGTAATTTTTTATTATTTCAACATTTATAATCAATTTCATAATATTTTATATTGATAGTTTTTTTTACAAAAAAATTTACCAAACACTTGCTTTTTGCCTTAAAGTTATTTTTTCTGAAAGTTATTTTTAAAGAACTTTCACCACTTTGCAGCATAAGCATCAGCCATGTCCAACAGACTCTATGAGATTTTGAAATAACTTTTCATTTTGTGTTATATGCATCTTTCATAATTCTCTTTTAACTGCAGTTATTGCACGAGGAACTAATGGGTATGCCTTGTTGTTTATGTAATTGACATGAGTTTTAGTACCTGTTGCTTTCTTCTTTCTCCTGCAGTTGTATGATGGAAAATATCTTGAAAGGCCTAATGTTTGTATATATATTTTGTTTTAGGTACGTAAAAGACCACTGAACAAGAAGGAAATTTCTAGGAAGGAGGACGATATTGTCACTGTAAATGATAATTGTTTGACTGTTCATGAGCCAAAGCTGAAGGTTTCCTTCTTTTCAATATTACTTGATATGCATATATCCATATTTATGTATTAACAAGTATATTTTAACTGTTGCTAGTACGATGTTGGGCCAAACTTGTAAGTTGAGATGACTAACTTTTGATCTTGGTCTTTTAGGTGGACTTGACGGCATATGTGGAGAAACATGAGTTCTGCTTTGATGCTGTCCTTGATGAGCGTGTAACCAATGATGAGGTGATTCTTTTATATATTCAACATTCAGTCTAATTGTTACAGTTTAAACTTCGGATCTCGTCATGAAATAAGATATGGACCAGGGTTTGGGGCTTGTTAGAGATAACCCACTGATCTGTAGAGTTAAAAGAGCTCTAAAACTTTTTGTGATAATCATTTTCTTCTTTCCATTACTGAAATGTGAACAGAAATAAATAGAGAAAAGTGGGCAAACTTTGTCCTAACTATGATAAGATTACCATTATTTTAGGCAAAAATCTAATTAGGCAAAAATCTAAGTATAAATGAATAGCAAAGAGTTAGCTGAGTTTCTTTCTAATATCTAGGATATGACAGCCATGATTTTAGGCTTGAATCTAATCACTATGATTTTAAGGTTCTCTTAATTAATCTACTTTTTTTCAGATAACTAAGAAATAGGGATTTCAAAAATAAAAAGCATCTGCATATAACTAAAGACAACAAAAGAGTTCAGTGCAACTATTTTTTGATATGTGCCTATTTTCTGGTTGCTATTTATCGGTCCCCCTTCAGCCTCAAGCACCAAGAAACGGATTCAATATTGTGTAAACCACTTCCCAAGAGAAAATTTTGAGTTACAGAGAATATGTAATCTCACTGTTGAACTTGTACTGCATATAAATGTAGAAAAAATTGTAATGAATCTTAAGGTGACGGAGGTGTCCAGATAAAGTATTAACATAAAAGTCTTCAACCAATCTAATTGACTGATTCCATTTAACATGTCTTAAGAACTTGTGCATCTGGTTGCATAAATGTCCTGGATGTTTGTAACTGCACCTATACCAGCAGCATCCTTCCAGACCCTGGGTGTTTTAGTTATGGGTCATCCGTTATTTTCTTTGGAGCATTTCAGGGACCTTACTGACTTTTTGATTGACATGTAAATATTTTTTATATATGGATTGACATATACCACATTTTTATTTCAAAAAAGGAAAAAAAAAAACTGTACTAGCAGCATCCAAGATTCCCATGGAATAATCATACTGCATGGATAACACTGCACAAAGCAACAACAAACTGCTGCAACAAAAGTATCCATCCGAAAATTCATATTCACAGTTTTATTATGGGCAGTAAGAATGCATTTGCCAAACAACATACTGACACAGCTGTCTATGCACTGTGGCCCTTTAACTTTTCTAAAAGCTGAGACGTTGTCTTGCCCCATACAATAACAAACTGATTATTTGATAGTGATACCGCCTTTGCTCTATTCAAGAATAAGAGAACTGCCCATGCTAACTAATAGCATGGGCAGTTCCCTTATTCTTGAATGTTTTCGCTGCGCTGTCAGGCTACTTGCGACAGCCATTTATGCTCCTTTCTAGCATTGTATTTTTTCTGGTTTAGTACTTGAGAGCTCTCTAAATAGGCCCTTTATTTGCACAATGAGCTTAGTCAGCTGCTATTCCATGCAAACAGTCCCGATAAAGGTTGAGAAAGCCTCAAATTGTTGTTGGAAGGTACTAACTCCTATATTCAGCTACTGTGATACTAAGTTGTTATGGCATCTGACCTTGGATCTCGTCACAGAATGAGATATGTAGAACTATTGTTTTGAAGATGGTTAGAGAGAATCCACCAATCTCTAGAGTTAAGGACTCTTTCCAATGCTGAAATTTAAATACAAACAAATAGACAAGAGTGGACGAACTTCCTCCATGCATAAGACTGCACTAGCAATTGTTGCAACACAATTATCTCTCTGAACATTCAATATCTTCAGAATTTCGTCATGGGCAGCAGTAAGAACATTTTTGCTAGACAACATATGGACACATCTGATCTGAACATCATGGCCCTTCAACTCTTCTAGGAGCTGGGATGTTTGCTTGGCCATATAATGACTAACTAATCGTCAGATCCCGATGCCACCTTTACTCTATCAGAACTGACAGTGTGTCCATCGACAGTTCCCTTATTCTCGAATGTTTTTTTCATGCTGTCAGGTTTCTTGCTATCGTTGTTTATGCTCCTTTTATGGTGTTGTAATTTTTGCTGGTCTAGTACTCATAACTCTCTACATAGGCCCTTGATTTGCATTTTTCACAACAAGCTCAGTTAGCCACTCTTTCATGTGAATGCAATCCTCTTGATAAAGTTTGAGGAAAACCTCAAGTTGTTGCTGTAAGGTACTATATTCTCCCATAACCAACTGCTCTGATACCAAGTTTTAATGGTCCTTAACTTCACATCTCTTCATGGAACACGATATGGGAACTAGCATTGGGGCTTATTAAGAGAACCCACCGATCTCTGGAGTCAAAGGACTCTAAAGCTTTTTAATAATTGTTCTCTCTTTCTATAACTGAAACTTGAATACAAATAAACATAGAAATGCAGGCAGACCTCTTCCTAAAATTTAGGATAAGATTCCCATGCGGCTAAAATTTGAGCACAAATAAGTAGGATTGGCTTTTTCCTAATATCCAGGATATAATGACCATGATTTAGAAGGCTTCAGAAGGACGTTTTGTTTACCGCCATCTAATTATTTGACTCTCATCTGAACGATACTTCTTCTATCTAAAAAGGATATAATGATCAGTGACCATGATTTTAAGCTTTCTTAATTAGCCTATTTTCTTCTTTCTGTTTGTGGTTCCTTTTCAGTCTTTCTTGTTATCAACTATTTTTTGCTGTTTCTTTGTTTTAGCTAGTACTCCTACATGTTCGTGAATTACATTTTCGTCTCTATTCGATGGCACTGTTCCTAAATTCAGTGCTTCACTGATTTGTTAGATGGAAGGATTGACTATCTGCTTGCTTAAACAGGTGTATCGGGTTACTGTAGAGCCAATTATTCCCACCATTTTCCAGCGAACAAAAGCCACATGTTTTGCATACGGGCAAACAGGTTTCTGAAAATCAGAATTTATCTTCATGGACTTATGTTCTATAATCTGCGTATGTACTTATTTTTTTTAATAACATTAATAAAATATATCTTATTTCAGTAGTGGCAAGACGTTCACTATGCAACCATTGCCTCTTAGAGCTGCTGAAGATCTTGTTAGTTGTTGCATCAGCCTGTATACCGTATCAGAGATTTAAATTGTGGCTAAGCTATTTTGA